AGGAGGGGAAAAAACCACAGGAAAAAAGGAAAAAGGAGGGAAAAAAAAAGAAAAAAAAGGAAAAAGGAGGGAAAAACCCACAGGAAAATAAAAAAGGGGGAGAGAAAAAAAAAACCCACAAAAAAAGAACTTTTCAGGACTTTTTAAGTGCTGGGAGGGGAGGAGTCAGAGCCAAATCCATAAAAGCCTTTTTTTTTTTGGGATTTAACCACATGCCCAGATCTGTCTGGCCTTTTTTTATGGGATGTGGTGAAGCCAGTGCCAAAAATAGAAATCTGGGAATAAAAGGAAACTTTGCTCCTATTCCAGTTTTCCTCCCTTTGCCTTGCCCTCCCCTCCCTGTCTCGGGGGGACGGAGCCGGGACACCCCGGAGCCTCTGGATCTTCCCAAATCCCTCTTTTTTTTTATTCCCTTAAAATCCATCTTTATTTAAAATCCCAATAATTCATCCACTCCGAGCCCCCGTTGGCGCTCCTCGTTTTTCTCCTCTCTGATTTATCATTCAAACTCTCATTAATTATTATTATTATTATTAATTAATATTAATTTGCCAAACTCTGATCTCGTTGCCAAACGCCGATCCAGGTTTTTTTTCCCCGGGTTGTCCTTAGGAAGTGCTCGGTGTCTGTAGGATCCTCATCCCGCTGCAATTCCCGAGGTTTTGGGGGTTGTTTTTTGGGATTTGTTGATTTTTTTTTTCGCCCCCCCTTTTCTCGTGTGCCATAGCCCCGATCCCTCCTCGTGTTTAATATTCCCTGGAATCCTTCTTCCCAAGTCAATGGATAACACAATAAAAAGGCTCACTTTGCATTTTCCCAGATTTCCTCTGCCTGCCTGGGGATTCCGGATCCTCCGGGGATCCCTCTGGGATTGAAACCCCTTGGGAATCCACTCGGGGATCCTTCCACTCTCAGGGATTCCCTTTCCCATCCTCTGGAGCTGCTGGGACCCCCCTGGACCTCCCCTCCTCATTCCTGGGTGGATTCCGGATCCTGGGTGGATTCCGGATCCTCTGGGATCCCTCTGGGATTGAAACCCCTTGGGAATTCTCTGAATCTCAGGGATTCCCTTTTCCCATCCTCGGGAGCTGCTGGGACCCCCCTGGATCTCCCCTCCTCATTCCTGGGTGGATTCTGGATCCTGGGTGGATTCCGGATCCTCTGGGATTGAAACCCCTTGGGAATCTTTCCACTCTCAGGATTCCCTTTTCCCACCTTCTGGAACTGCTCAGACCCCCCTGGATCTCCCCTCCTCATTCCTGGCTGGATTCTGGATCCTGGGTGGATTCCGGGTCCTGGGTGGATTCTGGATCCTGGGTGGATTCCGGATCCTCTGGGATTGAGAGTCCTTGGGAATTCTCTGAATCTCAGGGATTCCCTTTTCCCATCCTCGGGAGCTGCTCGGATCTTTTCTCCTCATTCCTGGGTGGATCCTGGAGGAATTCCAGATCCTGGATGGATTCCGGATCCTGGAGGAATTCCAGATCCTGGATGGATTCCGGATCCTGGATGGATCCTGGATGGATTCCAGGTCCTGGATGGATTCCGGATCCTGGAGGAATTCCGGATCCTGGATGGGTTCCGGGTCCTGGATGGATTCCGGGTCCTGGATGGATTCCGGATCCTGGATGGATTCCGGGTCCTGGATGGATCCTGGATGGATTCCAGGTCCTGGATGGATCCTGGATGGATTCCGGGTCCTGGATGGATTCCGGATCCTGGGTGGATCCTGGATGGATTCCGGATCCTGGATGGATTCCGGATCCCCTGGGATCGAGGGTCCTTGGGAATTCTCTCAATCTCGGGGATTCCCTTTCCCCCCCGGCTCTGGAGCTCCCTGGATGCTCAGATGGGATCGGGAATGGCGATTCCCGGCAATTGCAGCTCCTCGGGAATCGGGAATCTCCTTATCCCGCCCGTGGGAATTCCCAGCTCTCAGGAATTCCCTTTTCCCACTGCTCCTCTCCCCATCCCTGGTGGCTCCTCCACGGGAGCCCTTGGGAATTTCCTTTTTCCGGGAAAAGGGATCCCGGCCTGTTCCCGGAAAATCTGCGGCATCCAGACCTTGGAATGCGGATTCCCGCGGGAATCCTTGGGAATTCTCAGCCCCAAAACCGCCGGGAAGTGACGGGGGTGGGACAGAGAGCGGGATCCAACCCCAGAATCCCCAAATCCCCCGGAATTCCCATCAAAACTCCGGGAACCGGGAGCGGCTCCGGGCCGGGAACTCACCGGGAACTCACCGGGAACGGCTCCCGAACCGGGAACTCACCGGGAACCGGGAGCGGCTCCGGGCCGGGAACTCACCGGGAACCGGGAGCGGCTCCCGAACCGGGAACTCACCGGGAACTCACCGGGAACCGGGAACGGCTCCCGAGCCAGGAACTCACCGGGAACCGGGAACGGCTCCCGAACCGGGAACTCACCGGGAACTCACCGGGAACCGGGAGCGGCTCCCGAACCGGGAACTCACCGGGAACCGGGAGCGGCTCCCG